GAACATGTGTCAGCAGTATAAGCCTTATACTTTTCTAAGATCTCATATGTTGAGCTGTCCAACATTTGATGATCGTTTTGATTGTTGAATGCTGTTAAAAAAGTTTTCACATTGTTTAGATTATCTATTTCTAATTTTTCTTCTTCCAAAAATCCTTTGAAGTGTAATATTTGAAGAGCTAGAGATAGCAAAGGGTGGATTTTTCGGCTTCTACTAAAGTATTTTCCATCCAAAAATGTTCTTATAGAACCAGATGACAGTACCTCGCTGTCGATTAATACGTTAGTTAACCCGGATCCATTTATAAATTTCCAAGTGCCTTATGATAAGACAACATTATGTGAAAAGGCCCTAAATGAATAAATAAATTACTGAACTGTTCTTCAGCGCTTTGAATTCTCATTGCTATTTTAGCCATGGCTAAATCGTATGTAACATTGTAAAATTTTTTTCCACACTCTTGTGCAATCATGGAACTTCTAACCAGCGTTTCTCTAACTACTGCAGGGTCTGTCGGTGAGTCGTTAATTTGTGTTAGGTACTCTATTTTCTGAATGCTGCTGTTATCTTTGAAGATTTTTGCATGATACCCTAACCACATTGGTGTATCGTTGATTTGGAGAAAATGTGATAACAGCCATCCAAACTGAACCTGTGTAAAAATACGGAGATTCACAAGATTTTTTTCATCCAGTTCTTGTAAGGAATTTATTTGCTGAAATTCCGGTCGTGACAGCTTGGCTGCTGGTAGTTCTTGGCAGTTATCTTGTTCAAAGGATCTTTTTCTCCTGCCATATATATTACGAACCATTGCTGTTGAGGTAGATTCACGCTGGAGGCAGCTCATGCTTTCGATGATTTGACATTGTTCGTTTGTCGGTATGCTTTGGTAGATAATACCTACTGTATCGTGCATAGATTCTTTTCCTGACGTTTGCTTACCGGCACTTTCCACGAATCGGTCGAAATTGTCCCACGCAACTCCAGAGGCTAATATTGATGTGGCGTATATACCTGATGGACATACTTTTTGTCTTGATGCACACGTATAAGCAGCGGAAGTTTCCAATTCAATAACACTAGAATAACTCAAGCAATGGCCATGCTTATGTAAAATATCCAATACTTTCTGGCTACTAGTTATACTTTTCATACCTATACCCATTAAAATCTGTTTTTTCGGTTTAATTTTACCTCGGGTGATGCTGTAAATTGAATCTTGAGAAAAACTTGCGGTTAATACTTCTATTCGATCATTCACTTTATTATCTACGCCACTTAAAGCAACCTTCCAGAATAACTGTAACCATCTAGGAATCTCGCATTCACCTTTGTCCAAGCTATCGCTGTCTAGTTCATCGGGCAATGGAATTTTTTTTATTTGCAATATATTTCTTTTGTACTTAGAAGCGAATTCTACAGCTTCTTGCTCGAAAATCAAATTTCCAATTTCTTCATCGTTAATTTTTTCCAAATCCATTTCTGCAGAGACGATATAATTTTTATGCCCAATTTCAACATAATATATTTGTTTCTTGAAGTGCTCATCAATTGATGTTTTGACTGATGAAGTGCTCAATGCACAGCTTTTTATCTCCGATTCAGAGTATAAATCTAGTAAAAATTCAACAAACGTGTTCTTGACATGCGTCATAGACAATATCCTTTGTTTCAACAAAACTTCATTTTGAATATACATTATTAGTCTTGACCGAGCTTCCTTGTAGAAATTTCTTGTCACAGACCACTCGTTTGTCTTGGGTTTATTTATGAAACTCTGATATGCAGCGTAATATTCTAGATGGCAATGGCTGTGGTACGTTAAAGGCTTATCTAAGTCATTCAACTCCTCCGTTATTTTTATGAGCATGCGAATATCGTTCAATTCGGTGGCATATTTCTTTAGTGTATACAGACACTCTTTTTTATTTTTGATATCCCGAGTATAATACTTTGTTTTCCTTCGTGTAATGCCTATTTTAGCACAAATGAAGCACGTTTTAGCTGTGGCATCGGCTTTGAAACTTTGTATCGCACAATTTTCAATGCTATTATGTACAATGCTGTAAAAAAATATCTCATAAGAAAAAGAAATGCCATTCATTTTGTTAATTATAGTCCACGCTATGAGGCCAGAAAAAAATCAAGTAATTTTTTATATTTTTTAATACGCTGCATATGAAAATGGAAATCATTTTTTGGAAATCATTTCTTTAATTTTTTCGCTCAAGTCGTTCCATTTCAAGATAAAAAATCACAAACTTTTTTTTAAATAAAAAGAACAAAAAACTCTTAGATTTATTCAAAGAATACTTGCAAAATTCTTTCGATTTTTAAAAAAAAACTTAATAAGTCATAAAAATGAATTTTGTTAATAACTTTTATTCTATATTTTTAGAAATAACGAGTTTTATTTTAGTATTCTGCGTACCAAAAAATAAAAAAAGAATACTTGATTACCTTCTGGAATTCGAGTTGCATACTCGATTCATAGGCAGCATCAATGATAAAAAAAATTATGTACCTCGATGCAGCTCTGATAAAATTATCACTGCAACTTTCCTCTGTACCTTCAGAATTTCTGAAATTGAAATATACCAGTGTAGAAAAGCTTCAGATTTAAAAATAAATGTAAAAAATGTCATTCATTTTACTATAAACATAAATAAAATAGAAAAAAAAATTTACTCACGATGTAGATGAAGTTTGAGCAACATCATCATTATTTGAATTAGAAGAAGTTGAAGAAATTTGATGCGATTGAACACCTAAAGTGCCTTCGTTACTGCAAAGAACAGTCGCATAAAGTGCAATCATTTCAGTGTTAAGACAAGTCAAAGTAAAAATTCGCTAACTGTCAGCAATGTTTTAAAAACTTACATTTCTTCTAACTTCTTCAAGTATTCTTTTTTCACTACAAAAAGTCGGAGACATGAGGAGTGATATCCCAGAAACGTATCGACGCTTTCTGGCAATATCACGTTGCTATACGCATAATCGAATTTCTTTCTGCAATCTAAACTTTTGTACCAGTTATTTAAAATTTTTGGTGTGAACTTTTGTACTTTTTCATTTTTTGAATTATCTTGTGAAGCTATACACACAACGCACTCCATTTTTTAAATGTTCTGTACGAACTACTTGGTATAAAATATGGTATAATAACGTATAAATAACTCACTGGGCAATTTTCGTAATGAGTGTGTTGAGAACACACAACTGCTCGATCGACTATCTCGATATTTTCGTACACACAGTGTGTTCTGTAATATTGTATAATGCGCATGAGCTCAAGTACACTGAGAATTCATACTGTTATCGTCTATTTCTTGAAGGAGACTTTTCTCAAAGCAAGTAAATATTATTGTTATTATTATTATTATGTATACATCTTAGCATGGACGTTTCTGTTCTCCTAAATATAGGCAGCCCGTATAGCGCGATCGAGAAACTTTATCAGACGATCTGCAGCATGAGACAATTTTACTGTTTTAATACTACACTATCTATTAATTAAATATGTGTCTCTTTTTATTTCTGCAACTACTCCATAATCCACCATTCCTGACTTTAATTATAAATTATTAAGAATTTCAATTCAATAAAATGAATTCAGTTGATCTTCAATAATATGTTTATTACTACAAGTAATCACGAGTAATATTAGTTGAATAGCTTTTTATATTTTGTCAAATGCAATGTACAATGGACGAGGGATTAGAAAAAAGAGATAACGAAAAAAACGGATTTTATTCGATAGAGATCATTAATTAATTATTTTATAAAAATCATTTTTTTTATAAAAATTTATTTAACATGATGTATCAATTCTTTAACATCACCTTAACTTGTATGATTATATGCTAATTAAATATATAAATAAGTAATGAACATTATCAATGTTATCTTACAGTCTTGGTCACAAACGCTTATGAACAAGCACACGATAAGTTGAAATTTTAGTTTTTTTTACCTTGAGCCGCTAAAAATTCGTCAGACATTATTAAAACAACAATCCACATCTTATTTAAGAACTAAAAAACGTTGAATGGGGCATGTATTAATCAGAAAACATCGTCACGCATTACAGTCATATTTCATCAATCGGACTGAAAAAATGCAGCAGAGAATTTGTCGGACACTATGACCACTTGATATTATTGGTGATTATCAATCAAATGATTGAAAAAAAAGTATGTATTTATCAAAAAACAATAATGCTTGAGGGCAAAGGGTTTCAACGCATCGGACCATCTCATTGCGGTAGCCCTTTCGTCGGACAAGTTATTTTTCATACATAGTTTGCAATGGAAGGGCCAAAATTATTAAATATAACTATATATTTATCGAGAAAGAGAATTGTTTGTATCTGGCATGTTTCGCACATGCGCCATTGAAAATGCAGCGGAACCAAAACTCCGTACAAGAGATTCGTGTCGGACTCAACGAAACGAAGCCATTCCCGAAGTTACAGACATGTATTAATCACTTCACGAAATCGGCGCTGTCCCGTGGACTATCAATCTATTTACTCGACAACGAGCTTGGAAGTAGTTGATCCCAATGAACGTTCAATAGCCACATGTCTTGGATAACGATTTTTGCAAAAATCAAGACTGGACAGAACCAGCCTTGAGGGTCAAACAAACGAGCAAGATCGGACAAAATCGATCTTTTAGTGGGAGAATCAGTCAATTTTGTCAATAATGAGACTTTTAAAGAAAATGAGTTGGACTGAGAGTTCCAATTCAGTCCGAGAGCAGAAAATCCTTCGGCTTGCGGTATAGCCTTTGAGTTGCAATTATCACCGATGCGCAAACTGGGTTTATTTGAAGCCCACTTGCTGAATGAGAAGCCACTGACCATGAGAATATTAATGAGCTCTGCTGATTGATGAGCTGAGCAGCAGATGCATTTTGTACATTATTAGCTCCTACGTAAAAATCTTCGATGTATGAATTATGTCACAGCATTTCTGCTCCCACAGAAAATTTATTCTCCTATTCGACTGCTAGTTGTTCAAGAACGAGCAAGGCGATAAATGGAGATGAGGTCAGACCATATGTAACTGTGTTTATGTCGAAACATGTGGGAGTCTGTTTGCGGTCATCGCGCCAAAGGGTGCTTTGCCACACACGATCCTCAGGTAAAATCAAAAATTGTCGGTACATTTTGACAACATCAGCAGTGAATGCTACTTTATGGAAGCGCCAGCCAGAGAAAACAACCCATATGTCTTTTTAGAGATTTTTACCTGCTTGTAAACAATCATTGAGGGTGAAATCGGATGAGCTTTTGATGAGCCGTTAAAGATGACTTGGATTTTACCTGTAGGGTCTGATTTTTTGAAAACTCCGTGATGTGGTATAAAGTAACCGTCCTCCTTCAAATGATTCGATTCTGCCATATGAGTCAAACCTTTATACTCGAGCATGAAATCCGTATATTTCTTAGATAACAAATTGTTCTTGTCAAGTTGTCTCTCTAAATTAGACAGAAGTTGTGATGAAATTTTGTAATTTGATTTCAAGTACTTTTTCGGGTCTAATTTGAGTAAAAGTGATACCATGTATCTGCCTTCTTTGGTTCATTGGACAGAATCTACAAATAGCTTTTCGCATTTAATTTCGTCTTCAGACGGAATCGGAGAGTCGCGAAGATCTTCGACTTCCCAAAATTTTTGTAAATCACAGTTTACACACCGATCAGATAGGTCAGTGCAATTTGAATTCAATTGCGTTGCTGATGAGAGCTCACTTGCTAAACAAGTGATTGATCTACTTCCTACGCATACATCAGTAGAAAATGATGATTCCCAGCAGAACTCGCCTTCGGCTCGTGCTATAATCCCTCGTTTTGCTAAAAAACCATATGTGCACCCATTGAGAAATATACTATTTCTTCATGGCATATCGACGAAGAGTGTTTTTCTTCACGGCGTATCGATGAAGAGTGTTTTTCTTCACGGCGTTTAACAAACAGTATTTTTTTCATAGCACATTTCGTTGTGTTTTTTTTTATAAGCACCGGCGATTTAAATTGGAGTCCGAACCACCCAGGCTTGAGACCGATCTCATCAAGCGAGAAAGTCACAAGTGACCGTTCGCACGATGGGAATCGAACCCTAACGATACTCAAATTCAGCAGGTAAGAGGCCTGATGCCTTTACCTACTGAGCCATCGAGACGTCTATATAAGTATGCGTGTCGTCCCCTGGGCGAGATCAGGCCAGCGCGATCCCGCGAGCGTTTGTTCAGGCATTGGCAGTATAACATAAGGTTTTGCTACCCATGAGTGACCAACAAAAGTCCAAGTCAGTGCGGACTATGGGAAGCTTTAAAAACAAAGTGAGTTAGGGATATCTTTTTTTGAGCATAAATCATTTTATATAATCCTCAAGAGTAGGACTCCATGATCACCCACTATGCATCATCATCTATCTCATACTTATATAATAAAAATATGAATGTTTAATTAACTATGATAAAGATAACTTATCAAATAGACATTTTTCTTACTACATTCAATTTCATCTGATCCGTCGAAACAGTCAGCATTGCCATCACAGATCCAATTAAGAGGTACACATTGATTAATTACTTCATGACATACAAATTGTTCTGATGTACAATTATTTTCTGCAAGAATAAAAAAATTTATCATATGAAAATATACTTAAAAAAAAAATTACCTATAATGAGAAAATAAATCAAAATATGAATTGAAACGTCAATGCGATTACGAAAAAATGATTAAAGCTAAATGAAATGGATGAATTAAATTTTAAGGTAGCAAAAACAATAAACAGCTTGAAGGATTAAAGAGTTCATAGAAGGCTTAAATTTTAAACATTTTTATTTCATATCATCTAAATGAAAAAGTTAAACATTTTTTGTTACCGTCTCTACTAAAGTATGTAAGTTTGAGACTGACACAAACTTAAGAGCCACACGCTAAATGTCGCTCGCTTTACACGCACACAAAAAAAGCACACAAGCGTCCTCGCAACTGCGTCCTACACGACACACTGAGTGAGTGGTCTGCATGGCACCAGACGCCAAAAATATTATTTAAGAAAATTATAATTTTTCGTCCATTCGTATAACTACTCATATCTTTTTCGTTTGCACTCGTACTGACTATGTAGTGCAATCAACTGCATACAAGTGCATAAAAATACCAAATCAAAAAAAATCATGTTACTTGGGACCTGGTGGCAAGTTGCTTTATAATTGAAAAATTATCCCGCGAAATTTCATCATCATAAAGGAAACTTAACCCGTCTAATACCAAGAGACCCTATTTTTGACTTATTTTTCCACGCGTTATTTTTCCATGAAAACATGGTCAAATTAAAGTAAAAATGTCATATTTTATGGGATTTTTATCGCCCTTTTCAAATCTGGCCTCAGATTTACGATATATTTAACCGTTTTAAAAATAAATTTGTTTAAACAAGAAAGAACGTGGTTTTTGAACATTTTTTCTCAAAATGATCGTTTTTTTCACCACGATTACGGATTCGGATCGGCTTGAAACTCTGAATATGGTGGCATACAGGCCTAAACTAAAAGTTAGCGGCGTTGGTTCATCAAGATTCGAGATGGCAGCCACCAAAACAGCTGATTGTAGCCGAAAATGTAAAAAAAAGCTTTGGTATTTTTTTATTCGGTAAGAATGGACTCTACGAAAAATTTTATAAGACAAAAAGTGCTAAGAATTGATCAAAGAACTCGTGTAAATTTTTTCAGAATTTTTCGGATGATTTTGGAAATTTTTATAAAATAACCATATCCAAAAATTTCCAAAATCATCCGAAAAATTCTGAAAAAATGTACACGTGTTCTTTGATCAATTCTAAGTACTTTTTGTTCTGTAACATTTTTTCGTACAGTCCATTTTTATCCAGTAAAAAATATACACTACTGGACGCTACTGTACAAGTTATAATGCTTTGGCGTTTTTTTACTCAGTAAAAAATGCGTATTCTGGGGAAAAAGCTTGGCACTTGCTGCATACAACATTTTATGAAATACTATGCAAAAAATGCACAAATAACAAGCATGATATCTCACAAAATATCAGAAATTTTACCGCACACCAGTGTCCAAAAACACTTTTTGTGCACTAAAAAATGGGAGCAAAAGGGGATTTTTCGCTAACAATTGCATAAAATTATTTTGATTGAATTATATTGAAAAAATGCTGGTGATATTTTAAAAATGAAAGTATGCCAAAAAAATACGAATCGCCTATTTTTCGACCACCTCATCGAACTGTCAAAGACCCTGAGCTTGGAATTCGGTTAAATCTTTATTTTTGACATCTGAGAGCATTATAAATGAACATACTGTCTAGAAGTGCATGAGAAACCTATAGTCGAGTTCAAATTTAATAAAAAACTTTTACATGACGATTATTAAGGTTTAATGCAAGTGATCGAAAACTGGATGGATAATTTTACCGAATAGCTCAATTTTACACCAGGTCAGAATTATAACTTGAACAACAAAAAAGATTTAATAATTTTTAAGGGTACTAAGAATTTTCTCTGAAACTTCTCTGAAGAAGAAGTTTCTCTGAAGAAGAAGTTTCAGAGAAGTTCTAAAAACAATAACATTTGTAGAACCGAAAAAATATTTTATTGCTTCAAAATTTTGCATATATTTCTATTTATTTGAATAATATCTTTGGGTGGCTGAAAATTGGATGGTGGCCAAGCACATTCACCTTCTTTCAGATATGTTAGATGTTTTGGATGTTGATATGACCTCTGAAATCCCAGCCCTCTAAAGGTTAAATGTGTTAGATGTGTTAGCTTTTTCAATGATTTAAAAATTGGATGAGCTGAAAATTTTCCTTCAGCTCGTAACATCATCTCTCATTTTTCTAAAAAACCATAACTGCACCCGTTGAAAAAAATAATATTTTTGTTATGCGTATTTTGCAAATGTAAATAAGCGTTGGAACATGATTAAATTGGGGTTTTTGTACAGGTATTGTAAAAATTAAATGATTTAGTATCATTTTACCCAGTCAGTACAACCTAAAAATAACGTAAATTCTCGAAGAAGTTTTTACAGGGGCAAGATCGGTGACCTGGTGCACCGATCGATGACACAGCTGATAGCTATCGACTAGCTAATAATGTTCACTTTGAAAGATATATACCCTCGAGCATGAAATATACGAGCATTCGATCTTGTAGCATCTTGCCAGCGGCGATCTAGATGCGCGCAAAGCCTGAGGCACCCACAGGTGCAGATCCAACCATCGCGAGCTCACGTAGGCCACGATAGCGCGAGATAAGACCAAAAGAGTTGTATGAAATAATTGGGTGAATGACCCGCAATCAAAGAGTGGTTTCGCAAACCTAGCTCTAGGAGGTAACTCGCTCGAGCACGTTGGCCGACCAAAGGTGAAACACCTGCTGACAAACGCAGATTAAATCGGGTATATAACCCAGCGCAAAACAACACTCAGCCCTTCTTATTGTATCAAACTTTGTACGAGACGGATCGTAATTGATCGCTCTCTTCTTGATCGCATTGTAACTTGTCGCGACTAAATTCTTAAGTAAAATCAAGCGTGAGTTAAATCTTGAGTGCAAATTGTAATCGAGTGTGCAAGTGTGTACTTTCCGACGTAGCGAGAGCAGAGTGAATTCATACGACAAGCCTTCAATAAATATCCATACATTGTAAGTCTATTTTGTCATATAATTAATTATTTCCTATTCCAGTCTATCCCCTCATAGCAGCACAGGTAGTAAATATATTTCATTTGAAACTTATATTAAATCTCTCTCATCTATTTGTTATATCCCTGTATTGGAAATGTAACAGATGGAAAACTAAAAAAGTTTTCAATTAAATGTTTCAGAAGTCTATCAGTCGTTTGTAATGTAGCTTTCCTAAAAGATGAAATTTTTTGCAATTATTTTTCTTGGTTGCTTGGAAACAGAGCAATGAGCTAATTTGACTTTCACAGGAGAAGCAGATTGAATTGAGATGCGAAGATTGACACATCATGTTCCTTTTGAAACCAATTTCACAAAACTATCGTTAAGGAGGGTCCCCTCGCCTACCACACTAGTCAAGCGAGCGAGTAGTCGGCGCAGTCGAGAGTCGCGGATGTTTTGACTTTATGAGTGAGATGGTAAATCAGGATCTCTACTTACCAACTGAACTCTCAGCCAAGTGCGAGCAGTATATCGCAGACTAGGTGAATGTATTTACAATTGCTCTGCATGCTATTTGTGATTGTATACAATGTGATTTCGCTACATTAGTGCAATTTTATGAGAATATTTATTGTTAATAATGGGTAAACCACCAAAAACCAACAATGAGAGTTATATGAAAGGGATAAGAAAAGGACAATTTAAAAAAAATCTCTGGCTGAGAAAAGAGTAAAGAAGGCACTAAAAAAGGTTAGAATAATAAATTTATTTACTAAAGTAATACTCTTATACTAATCAAGCTTATAAATTATCAGGCTAAAGCAGAGATTGCAAGCACAAATACAACAATTGAAAATAGTGGCAGAGAATTAATGAAACGAGACCAT